TATTTTTGGTGTGAGTAGAGATGGAAAAATGATGTGTTGAATTGGGGTTTTTATCATTTTCTTGGACGACCATTGATGGATTGGGTAGGTAAAGAGGGAAAAGGATGGCTTGCATGGGAGGATTTTAGTGGTTATTAAGATATTGTGTTTCCTTTTTGAGTAGTGATTTTTTCTCAATCTCCTGTGGTATACGGAAGGGATAGATTTTTTGGTGCAAACTAAGATGTAAGATAATTTAAGTATTTTAGAAGATGAAATCATGAAGGAAGGAATGCCATTTAAAGAAAAGAAATGCTCTACATATAAAAAATGGATCGGACTAGTTTAACTAGTGCGATCTTGTCGTATGTGAATGACTCCATCAAGACGGAACCCAATTTCGGGTTGATCAGTCGGGCTTGTTCGAGTTTTAACATAGTGAAATATATGTAAATGCATGTATAATTGCACACTTAAGTATGTCAATAATGACATGATTGGTATGATGGAATGAAATTTCGTAGGAATGGAATGAATTGAAGAATTGAATGATTATGGAAATAGAATGAAACATGTTTTGTCATTGTTGCATTTGGTATGCAGAAGGAATAGGACTAGAATGGAATGACATTATTATTTTTTATTATAAAAATAAATAAAATCTTTTTTTAAAAAATAATATAATTTTAATAAATTATATATAAATACTTTTTTTAATAAAATATAAAAATAAAATAATATATTTTTAATAATATATTTTGAATAATATATAAAAATAGAATAAAATATTGTTTCATAATATAAAAATAATATATTTTTAATAATATATAAAAATAAAATAATATATTTTTAAATTATATATAAAAAACAAAAAATTCTTAAAAGTAATATATTTTATATATATAAAAAAATATATTTTTAATAATACTTAAAAATAAAAAGTAATATATTTTTAATAATATATGTTTTATTTTTTAATTAAACAGTAAATAAAAGTAAGTTTTTAATTTTTTATGTGAATTTTATTTTTTAAAATAATATATTTTTAATAATATTTAAAAATAAAGTAATATATTTTTAATAAAATGTATTTTTAATATTTTTCAATAATATATTTTTAAAAGTAATATATTTTTAATATATAAAAAATAATATATTTTTAATAATATATAAAAATAAAATAATATATTTTTAAATTATATATAAATGCTTTTTTTAGTTTTATTTTTATATAAATATTTAATATATCTAATTAAAAAATAAATAAAAGTAAGTTTTCAATTTTTTATTCGAATTTTTGTTTAAAATAATTTTATTTAATATATTTTAATCATGATTTATAATATTTATTATATAATTATTTTTTTTTTATTATTTGTTAATTTAATTTTTTGAAAAATTGATTCCTACACACATGGGAATGAGAAAACCCTCCATTTACTATGGAATGGCTAATCCCATGGAGATGGATTTTGGCATTCCCATTGGAATGGTCATTCCTTCCCAAAAAATATACCAATCATGGGATAAGGAATGAGTAAGGGAATGATCATTCCATTCCCATGTCATTCCATCATATCAATCATGTCATAAGTGTTTAAATAAAAAGATAATTGGACTATTGGAGATAAAAATAAAAAATAAAAATGATCCTCTTTCTCTCTAGCTCTCTCTCTAGAAACCTCCTGGCCTTCTTGTCTCGACCACCTTTTCCTCCCCCTAGCCGCGCCCCGCCGACCACCGACGCCAGTGGCTTGCTCCGGCGAGTTGCTGTAGCTTTCTTTTTCTTCTGTCTTAGCCCCCATGTCTCTCCCATCGTCGGTTTCCTTGATTCCCACAACCCATCTTCCTTCTTCGGCCATCTTTTCCTCGCCGGATTTAGACTCGGTCCTCTCACAGCGGGTCTTTAGGAAGGCTCTCCTAGCCTTTTTGAAAGAAAATCTACCAGTTATACGCTTGGAATAAGGAGAAATTCCGGTTTCAGCTCCCTCCTCGGCTTTGGTCTCCGACCGCTCACCCGTCGCCAGCGATTCCGACACAGAGAAGGAGACGAGCTTACTAGTCTAAGTCGTCGACAAGGCCCCCCCGACGTCTTCCGCGCCAGTCAACACTCTTTTGGATTCTCGAGCTCCGGCATCTGGTTTCTTGGAGTCCTCAGGCGACGGCCGTGCAATTATAACCGAACCTCTCGCCGACCATGGGGTTTCTCCGGTACTCTTGAGTTCGACGTCAGCCCAGTTTGTGGGTAAAGAAGGCTAGCTTTATCGCCCGGTTCTCTTTGGCTCCCTGCCACCGGAGCTCTTATCGGAAAGGCTCCCCCCGCTGAGCTTTGACTGTATACTAGCTTTGACCTATCAACAAGGTACGAATGGAGGCGCTCCAACTGTTAACCCTAACCCTCAGCTGGCTGACGTGGTGTCTCACTCTTTGCTTTGGAGCTTCCAACCCGTTTATTACTTTCTGGCTACTCCCAAGGCCCAATTCAGCCCCAGACCTATGCCACCCTCTTGGGCTAGTGCCTAAGGCCCAACCGTTGCAACCCATCACACCCCAGCCCACCCTTTTAACCACCTATCCAACCCACCTTCCTCACCCCCAAATCAGACCCCAGCTCAAGGCCCAACCGTCCAACCCACCATATTACCTAAACAGACCCTAACAGCCTCACTCCCACTTCCCACTTTTACCCCTTAGCCTGCAGCTTCCTCTCCCAAACAGCTTACCCGCGTTACCCTCATACCCCAGCTCGCTACCATAGCAGCCGGTCTGCCGGTGCCCATCGCCTCTTTGCTTGCCAGCGACCACAACACCGGCGCCAGTAGGCCTACGGTCACCGGAGCTCTACTTTCTCCGGTCGGTCCTCTTGTCTGCGGGCCCACTTTTCCATCGGGCTCCGTGTCACCGATAGCCAGCACCTCGGGACAGCCCCCGACGGGCACCTTTTCGAGCTTCCATTGGCCCTCGGGGCTACACCGATCCCGACCTCGGCAAACACGACATTGAGCCCCTACCGGCCAATGGTCTTTCCGGGATGTGATTATTGGTAATCCGTCGACAAGTCAGGCCATCAAATACTTTCACTCGAGACCTTTCGGGACAAGCATCAAGAGACTATCTTGCGCTCCAAGGAGGGTCAATTTACGGTAGACCGACATCTTTCTCTCCTCACCACTTTGGGCAGACTCACCCATAGAGACTGGACAGGCTGCATGACGCCTCACTGCTTTGCACCTCCTCCACTGGCGCCTTTGTGTAAGACCCGAGCCACCTTGGGTTAAGCTAAAAACGGATCCTTTGACTGACTTACCAGAGCCGCCGGATGTGGATCATAGCGGTGCTCTTATTACCGCTTTCCATGAACCTCTTTGGGCCTTCTCGAGCTATGCCGCGGAGGTTGAGACGCTTCATATCGGTCTTCAGATTGCTCCTCGATCTGCTCTCACATTTGATTGAGTTGGACGCTTCTGCTGTCATCACACTCTTGATCTCTAGCCATCAGGGCACGTGGCAGATTCAGCATCCGCTCATGCGTATTAGAGCCACACTTCGGTCGATTCGCTATCGGATCTCGGACATCTTCCTCGAGGGGAACCGGCCTGCTGACTTCCTTGCTTGCATCGGTACCTTCACTCTCAGAGACGCATTCTTCACCCTGACGATGTTCCTATCCACCTTCGTACCCTTATCTTGTGACTATTCAATCCATTTAAGGCCTTTTTTATATATATGGTTCAAAGTTTAAAAAAAAATAAAATAAAATAAAAAAGATGGTGAAATATGATGTCGGTATAATGTGGATGAGAGAGTAAGTGATTAGTGTGCCCTAATAATTTTTAAAATGATTATAGACTAGTGATTAGGAAATCTTGAACCCGTAATATGGTTTTAGCTATCAAATTACACAGTTACACATATTGAGAGGAAGAGGATGTATATAAATCGACGGCTAAAATTGGTGACTACCAACGGTTGGATGAAATTTCTCGAGTAGTTGTGCATCTCTCTGTCCTCACTCGCTAAAACCCTAGCAGTGAACGATGCAATAGTTCTCCACTCACCACCAAGTCGAAAAAATTGCAGTTGAAATCCAAACTCTCAAGTTCCTCGCCATGCTTCCTGCGGAGCTTCTCCAGGAGATTTTCTCACGGCTGCCGGCGAAATCCCTCTTGCGGTTCAGGTGCGTGTCCAAATCATGGAGGCGAATCATCGACGGTCCAGATCTCGTCAAATCACACCTGAAGAAATCCGCGGAATCGTACCATAACCACACCCTCATCCTCACGGAGACGGGCATGAACTACCACGTCCTCGATTTGGGCCCGCTCGACAACCCTAGAAAAGCCCGCGTCTGCAAACCCCCTTTCACCGGCGGCGAAATTGAAGACGTTTCTAACCCATGTAATGGCGTAATCGTTGTCTCAACCGAGACCTTCGGCCTGCTCTATCTGTGGAACCCATTCCTGAAAAAGCACCGGGCTTTTCCCGATTCCCCGTCTAGATGCACGCGCGACCTCCATTTTCCCAAACAGTTATTGGGGCTGGGCTACGACCCGAAAAACGACGATTACAAAGTTATCCGTAATTTGGAGTGTAAACACATAAAGACGCATCAGCTTGTGTGTTCAAAAACTGAGGTCTTCACATTCAGGTCCAAAGTGTGGAGGGAGGTTGACCCTTTTCCCTGTTCTCTCTCGTGCACGTATCAGTTGTGGGTTGGGCCTGTCAATGGGTCTCTGCACATGCTGTGTGCAGATTCATCTCATGATTGTAAGATCGTGGGATTTGGCATTGAGGCCGAAAAGTATTTCGAGATTTTGTTTCCTTTGAAAGTCCCAGCTAAGACCATTATGGGGTTGGATTTGCTTGGTGATTGTCTTTGTGTATCCTGTTTTGATGAGTCCAGGGTGAACATATGGATGATGAAGGAGTACGGGGTTAGAGATTCTTG